CTTACAGCTTTGAAATCAGTGTTATGGGCATGCCATTTAACGGCTGTTTTCCCTTAGGCTGGTTCTCCCGGTCCCTTTGCATTTCAGTCTCAGAAAAATGGGGAGGTTATAGTATCTTTTCCATTGAGTTCTTGTGAGGATCAAATAAGATCATCCAGATGAAGCACTAAGTATAGTGCCATTCATATAGTTAAACACATGATGATGATTATTATTAATTTCGTATACCTGGCACAGTGCTTCACACTATTTGAGCAACATTTGTCGAATGATCAAATGAATTGCCTTTTTGTTGATTCGTTTGTTTTAATATTTCATCCAAGGCATTTCCCTGTGTGTCGTGGAGTATTAACATGGCATTTTTGGGGTTTCTCTAGGATCTGGTGCTGATCCTCATAAAGTGGGTCCTGGAAGAAGGGAGGAAGAGAACTCCTCGGTGGAGAGCTGACGTGATGGAGCTCCCCAACTATAGCCGGCAGCTGCTGCAGCAGCTCTACATGCTGTGCAAGGAGCAGCAGTTCTGTGACTGCACCATTTCCATTGGTACCATTTATTTCAGGGCCCACAAACTTGTCCTGGCTGCTGCCAGCCTCCTGTTCAAAACCCTGCTGGACAACACAGACACCATCTCCATCGATGCATCTGTAGTGAGCCCTGAGGAGTTTGCTCTCTTGTTAGAAATGATGTACACTGGCAAACTACCTGTGGGCAAGCACAACTTCTCCAAAATCATCTCTTTAGCTGACAGCCTACAGATGTTCGATGTGGCTGTTAGCTGTAAAAATCTTCTAACCAGCCTTGTCAACTGCTCTGTTCAGGGTCAAGTGGTGAGGGATGTCTCCATGCTATCATCAGATTCATTCAGAAAGGACTCAGAGAAGCCTGAAGCAGAAATCCTCTCTTCAGAGGGTTCTGGAGAGCATCCTTCCCCGGAGGGTTCTACCCCTGGAGGGGGCCCTGTGAAGGCTGAGACCCAGGAAGCAGTCCACACAGTTGCACAAGAGATAAGTGTGGATCCTTCCACTGCCCAGGAGATTCGGGAAGATGCGGATGTCCCATTGGAGGCTCCTCATACCTCTCAAGTTTGTTCTCCTTCCCCTGTTGTACAAGCCTTTAGTAAAGCAAAGGAGGCGAGCACAGAACCAGGTAACATTCGTGTAATAGTTGTTTTGTAATCTACCGTCAATTACTAGATTCAATGATCTTTACAATTTTTTTGTTTCATTGATAAATTTACCAAAGACCACTGTTAGATTCTTCTTTTAAAAGTGTCTGTGTTTTTGAGTGTTAGAAGTCTGAAGCTGAACTGCAGAGCAAAAACGCAGTATTGAAATAATGTGCCATTTTTTGTATTTACCCATTACTTTAACTAGGGGGAGGATGGCACAACGGGGAAAGCTATTAGAGACACTGTTTTCTATTACTCATAACTGATGCACTAGGCATCAATTATAAATGCAGTCTATGACCTAAAGGTTCTTGGATAACTTAAACTTTTCAAAATCATTTTAAGTAGTGAATCATTGATTTTTTATTTTGTTTTGTTTTATATTCAGAGTACGAGAGGAAACACTACCAGTTGAATTTTCTTCTAGATAATGCAGATATCTTCTCAGATGCACTCTCTGTTACCCAGGATGTTTTAAATAAACTAGAAGAATGTTCAGAAATTAAAGATGCACAGAAGAAGGTAGGTACCATGAGTTTTGTTTGCTGGTTTAGTGTTCTAAGGGTACCAGCTCCGCTTTCCATATGAGGCAGAATTATGAAAATGCAAAATACCCTAGATTCTCAATTTTTTCAAAGTTTAATTTTTTTGACATTTATTCCCTAAAAGACAGCTTTGCAAAAGTACTAGGCAGGATACTTTCAAAACAAAATTGTCGTTTGATTACCAAGTAAATCTCAACTTATAGCCACTTCTGATCCAGAATACTTAACTGATTACACCATTTTCTCTGATTAATCAAGGATTAAACAAAACAATAACACTGAAAACATGCTACAAAAAGGATGTATAAACTTACATAGTAAATTGCATCCAATTTTAGGAACATAATGGTTATTTTCAGACATCAAAACAATAATGGTGAACATTTGTTGAACATTTATTGTGCTATGTTTGGTACATATGTTATTTAATCCTCACAGAAATCATTGAGGTGGATACTATTTTACTATTTTTCAGCCTTGTTTTATAGATGAGAAAACTGTCTCAAAGAGGTGATATATCTTGGCCAAGGTCACAGAGATTATAAGACTCTGAACAAGAATTCAAACCTAAGCATTCTAACTTTGAGCCGTTCTCTTACACATTGAGTTAATATTGCCCCCCACTAGGGTAAAAATTATGTGTATATGCCATGTATGTATAAATGCTTTACTGACTGACAGAAACTGCCAAATGGTTATCATGCTCTGTTTCTTAGCTGACAATTTTTTTTCCTTCAATATTTCAGTGAGGCACATGCCCATCAGTGGGCTCGCTTGCCACCTAATTCCTCATGACCTTGCAGGAGTGACTCCACGGCCACTTTAGAACCCCCTTGCCTCCTCCTTTTCCCAGCCGTGCCTCTGTTCTGAGAGGTGCTGGCAGAGAGGACTCTGCTCCCGTAGGGTTGCTCATCTGATTGGTGAGCTAGTATTTGGAGGTTTCCACATTGCCATAGGCAATTTAGGTTTTGTTAGTTACTATTAATCCAAGAAATAAATGTTTTCTATTATTTAAATATATCCCTGATGCATAGCAAGTTGCTTTAAAAAAAAAAATCAAGGTCAAGTATTTACTTTAACAATGGTTAATTGACAGTTGGCTGTAAGTTATTTTCTTGAGAGATAAGCTATTTACAAGATTGGGCTAAAGCTGATGACTCTGTTCGGGAGGTTTCAGGTTGTAAATCCTTGGTACTCTATACCAATTATGCTGAAGGACATTATGGTTTTATATTTTTGCACTTAGATGTCCTCTTAACTGTTCAATCCATCATTTTTGTCAGTAGTTCGTTACCTTGATAGCTATAGGCACACCTCTTTATTTTCTCTCTTAAGACTTCCTCTCCACTTGACTTCGGATACAAAGGAGCAACATCATTCCTTAGATCAGCAATACTGAAATTATTAGTGACACTTCTGTATTTATTTCAGCTGTGTCTTATACACTGGTACCTAAAAGTGTCTGGCACGTAACAGGTGCTCAAAAATATTTACTGTACATGGGTTCATTTAACATTTTTTTCCCCTCCAATTCTTGTCCTAATCTTTTGATGGCAATAACATTAATAGTACTTTGAAAGAACACTGAATCACTGTTGGTGATCATTATAGGCTTATGTTATTTCTTCCTCAGTTTTGGAGGTCAGAGGAAGGGCTCCACAAATCATTTGGTGGCTGTATTTAAAACTGATTCTGTTATATTCCATAATAAATCTTTTTGCTGCAGGAAGAAAAAGGAGGAAGATACTTTAAGAACATAAGATTAAATTAAATAAAATACAGAGTTAGGAAAGTACTGCTTTGTACTGAGGCCCTGCTCCTCTCTCTCTCTCTCTCTCTCTCTCTCTCTCAGTCTGTCTGTCTGTCTGTCTCTCTCTCTCTCTCTCTCTCAGGTTGTGATAGAACTTGGAAATCTCCATCTTTAGCAAGTTCCTCATGAGCTGTGGTTTTGGTATCTCTAAACCACATTTTGAGAAGCACTGCTGGAAAACTAATGGCTTACAGAATTCTTAGTACATGATGGCAGGTGCCACGGTGTCTATGCTAACATCTCTCAAAGTCTTGAGGGGTTGCTAAATACCCATTTTCCCCAAGTATTACTCTTTGCTTACCCCTTGATTCAGCAAATATTTACTGAGCAACTGGCATGTGCCTGGCATTGAGCTGATTACTAGGAAAACAAATGTAAATAGGACTGGATCCCTGTCCTTAAAGATTATGTCTTGACAGCAAAGAAATTCTGCTACCTGTGTAATTTGGGGGGAAGTATATGCAGAAGTCACCAAACTCCAGGAATCACCAAAGACTTAGATGTTCAGTGTATTTAAGAACAGTTCACTTGGAACGTCATTCTACATTTTCAGCTACAATTGTAAAGATTATTTGGAGGGTTTCGTTTGTTGTTGTTTTTCTGTTTATACATTTTTAGCTCCCAATGATCTTTTTGAATGTTTTTTGTTGTTGGAAGTTATTTGGTTAATCAGTCATAACATAACTTGAGGTAGCTTAATATTGAAAATAATCCACCCTTATGTGTGATTTTGAGACTTGTTGTAAGGCTTTTGAGTGATGTTCTGGTTGAGATGCACCAGCTTCTTCCTTTTCTGAAAAATGAATATAGGGCGTGCAGCGGGCCTGGATTGAGATTAGGGAAGACATCGTGAACCAGTGTCTTGATTATTTTTTTTCCTGGGATAAATGATGAAAGGTGGCAAAGCCATTGCCTGAGCAATGATTGCAGCAACATGAGAAGAGGCTGGGCTGCTCGAATTGTGTGAAACCAAAGCTAAAACTGATTAAGGAGAAGTCTCCTGGGTGCTGGGATGAGGACGTGTCTTCTGCCTGTCTCTATCTCAGTATACTATCCCCTACCCATTGGAAAAAGCAGATACTGACCTAAGAGGCTTTCTCTCTGAGCTGAGTAACATCTTTATTTAAAAGGCAGACTCGGGCTTTTTTTCAGCTTCTACACTAGAACTTTTGTCTTCTTTATTCTTAGCCGTGTCCCTGCTTTTAATTAATTGTGCATATAACAAAGTGAGTCTTTCACTACAATAAAGAGTTAACTGTTTCTGCTATTGATTTCCTTGCTGTTTGATCCACTTTTCACCTAACATTCTAGAAAGACTCCCAACGCTGAAGATGTAGTAGCATTTTTTTCTCCTTCAACTTTGTTTCAAAGGCACTTAAGTCCTATCTCCTATGTGAATCTAATGTTTTCAGCCATGTCGCTGCTTTGGAGGTTTGTCAAGTTCAGGTTCGTGTTTTGTAAACTGTGTTTGCCGACAGGGTAGGCTGACCCTCTTGAGAAGTAGTTAACGGGATTCATTTTGAAGGTCTAGGAGAGATGAAAATAAGCTGTTGTTTTTCCACATCTCCTCTGTCCTAATTATTAAGGCTAAGATGTGCTGCCACAGATAGAAGGCTAGTGCTTTTATGGCAAGGAAATTACATTAGGGTAGCATTTATTAACCATCTGCTATGTACCAGTCTATACTAATTGAGACCAAGAGGAATGTTACAGATTGTCTGGCTACTGCTACAGTGTTCAAAGTGATATAGATTCCAGTAAGCCCAGTAGAATCCAGTGTAAATGGATTTGGTTACACTCAAAATCTGGGAGACGGAACTGAGAGAAAGGGGTGCTAGGTCAATTGAATGAGTTCAGTGTTTCATCTAGACTTCTCTGCTTACTCGCCATGTGACCTTGGGCAGGTTACTTCCCCTCTCCAACTCTCATTTAACTAGTCATAGTAATACCTCCTAGGATTGATGAGAGGGGCAAAGTAGATGGCACATATGCACAGTGTCTGAGATGGTGTTGAGCTCTTGGAGTCTGTGGCCCTTGGCGTTTAGGGGAAGCATGAGTGAGCAAGAATACAGTGTCACCCAAGCACATCTGAAAGCAGTAGGCAAACAGTCGGGAAAATAAGTAAATTCAGTTAAAAGACCTAAGTGTGAGGGAAAGGTTAAATGGTTTTTCACATATAACAGAGAGAAAGGAAACTGTCCCAACTTTAAATATATCGACCTATATTTTATAGACAAAAATGCTTTGATTACACATGTGACTATGAATTGATAGGAATTTATTGACATATCTTTAACTCTAAGAATCAGTGGAGTTCCAAATGTATGGTTGAAGAATAAAACTCCATTTTGGTTCATCTCTTAGAGTTCTGTAACATGGTAGCCATCAGTGAGCTCCAGCCTGTAGCAATATGTGATACCCTTCTGTTGAGGCAGATACACTGTTTCAGAAAAGGGCTCACTCCACTGTGGAGCCCCAGGCAGCATGGGCGGCTGATGGAGTAACAGTTATGAATGTTGGCTCTGATACAGGTCCCCAGTAGGTTCTGGAAGGAAGAGCAGGGCCGTCCAGGCAATAGACTGCTCCCTCCTGGCCCTTTCATCAGCCCACCCCTGTTTCTCTCCCCAGATGGTCACCCTAGCATCGCTGCTGAGCAGTGAAGTTAACAAATGTTTTAATTTCACTGCTGAGTAGTTCTGCACAAGAGAAGAAAGCAGAGAGGATAATGAGAAGCATATCAGATGCTACCATTGATGAAAGCTTCTCTTCTCCAGTGGCTCGCATGATAATGCCAGACAAATCGGACGCTAAGAAAGGTGGATTTGGGATATTTGGAGAGCTTCGGGTGAACAAAACTGGCCAAGTATAGAATGAGATACCTATATGCTATATCAATTATGATGCACTAAAGAAAAGAAGGAAAGCAAATAAAGAGGAAGAAACATGTTTACTAAGGGCATTAGCAACAAATGAGTCTTTATTGGTTATCTGTTGCTGTGTAACAAATTATTGGAACGCGTAGCAGCTTAAAGAACAGTAGCAGCTTAAAGAACAAACATTTATTACCTCCCTCTCTGTGGGTCAGGAATCCAGACATAGCTTAGCTGAGTCCCTGGCCCGCGGTTGCTCACAGGGCTGCAGTCAGGTGTCAGCCAGGGCTGTAGACATCTCAAGGCTCACCTGGGGGCGTGCTTTTTCTGAGCTCACACTCACATGACTGTGTTGTCTAAAGACATGAGTTGCCTGTGACTTGGGCCTCTCTTTAGGCAGCTCACAACAAGGCAGCTCGCACACACCCAGAGCAAAGGCAGAGAGAGTGAGAGTGCACACACAGGCAAGATGGAAGTCTAGTAACCTAACCTCAGAAGTGGCATCCTCTTACTTTTGTCATATAATCTTCCTTAGTCATTAGGTTCAGCCCAAAGGGCCTAAGTGCCTGGAAGCAGGGATATTGAGAACCATTTTAGAGGCAGACTGTCTTCCTCGGGTCCTTACTGCTGTCAGGGAAAAGGCATTCTGAAGAGATTTAGGCCAGCTGACAAAAGCATGATGGGATGAATAAACGTGACTAAAGAGAATTAAGCAATCAGTTGATGCCTTTATCTCCTTATTTTTAAAATAGAGACAAGATAAGTTCATGATAGTTACTTATTCCAATAAAATCTTAATATGGATTACTGTGTCTTATCTTTTACTTTAAGAGATAACCAAAATACATAGGGACCTTTAAAAAATGTTTAATTGAGCTTTATACAGCCATTCTGTGATCAGGAAACAAACTAAATCTAACTGATTTATAAATACTATTTATTTGGGAGGAGGGGAGAAAGACAATCTCTCTAAACAAAAATTTTAAATGTATAATTACTACTAGAATTTATAACTGTCTAGCTGAACTTTGAAAGTGTAGATATTGATGAGATCCTTTCATTGTATGTGTGTTTGTGTATATAGAAAACCTTAGCTTTTCGCTCTCTAAAAACTCTTGAAAAAATTCTATTTTCTTCTATAGTATTGACAGTGAAAAACATCAAAGGTAAGTTATAGTTTTGCCAGGTAGAAATGCAAAGACTATACTAAGAGCATACACATGAAATTAAGTTTTGGTTACCAGATTTTTTCCAGATAAATTCAATATTGCCAAAATAGAAATATTAATCCTGCATTCCAGTTGGCCTTCCTTTCATTTGTGTGAGAGATGCTCCATCCAAAGAAAGGAATGCTAATTTTGTTTCTTTTATCACTGGAGTATCGATATTTTTTGTACTCTAGGTTTGGAAGAGCCAAGATGTTGAGTTTGGTTTCAGACATATGGTGCTGAGACCTCTGGAGAATAAGGCATATCTAGCAGAAACTGTGTGGCTCTGCATTTAAACACAGAGCTCAGGATCAGAGAGCTATTTTTCAGGGTTATCTGCATAAAGGTGACATGTGAGAGCTTTCCAAAAAGGAGAGAACAAAGAGAGAAAAAATAAAAGAGTTGAGACCAGTCTTACTGCTTATGGTTATGGATTTGGAAGAAGAACCATTGAGGAAAGCTGAAAAGGAGTGGTCAGAAAGGCGAGTGTGTATCCAAAATGCTTCAGTGTGATGAAGTTAGAGAATTGTTGTACAGAGACTGTGGTAATGCCAGATGTCACAGGAAGGTGAAGTACGAGGGAATTGAAGTATTGAGGGTCTTACTTGCCAAGTCCAAGAAGCGTGGAGTTCTTGTGTCTGGCTGATCTCTCTTTCTGTTACTTTTGTTCCACAGACCATAATGGGATGTCTTGAGGGTAAGGAAGGACATTCAGCATTCCAGAGAATCCTGGATAAAGTAAGAGAAGAGAGCCTGGATGTTCAGGCTGTTGTGTCCCTGTTGAGGCTGTACCAAGATTCTAATTCTGCAGTAAAGACAGCACTGTTAGGCAGAAAGCCAGAAGATATGGAAGCAGTGCAGCCAAAAGGTAGGAGAAAACCCCATCCACCTGAGTCACTGAGTTTTATTCTGGGCAGATGCTGTACCATTTGCTCTGGTGATACGTTTCTTCAGTGGCTTAGTTAAGTGATTTTCACATAAACTCTACATGTAATTCCAGAAGCTGCATGTTAAGTATATTCGAACTAAATATGAGTCTCCATTTCTGTCCCCTAGTTAACTAAACTAGTCTGACACCTTGAAGTTGAAGAAAACCACCGTTCTTCTGCCCTTCAAAAAGCCACACATCCAAATCGGTGTTTTGAGTGTTCAGGGTGAACTGGTTCACTGACAGCACTTTTCAAGGCTGAAGTTTCTCTCATTTGGGTTAGGTACAAAGCAGTGGCCTTGCCAACTAGAAGTTAACCTCTGGCTGGCTCTGCAGCTTTGTGTTTCAACAGATAAATGAAACATTTTTCCTTTCATAGAGTTTAAACAGAATAATAAAGTATTTTCCTCTCCAAAAGGAGAGATTCTGCATTTGGGTCCTCAGAATAGGCTGAGAATCACTTTACTATTCTGTTAGATCTCTCTTGACAAACCATGCTGTCATTTTCTTCAAATTGACTAGCTTCTCTGCTTCTCTTGTGCGTCTCTAACGCTTTCTCCCCCAGGGAGCACAGAGGAGGGAAAGACCTTGTCTGTTCTGTTACTAGAACACAAAGAGGACCTGATCCAATGTGTAACACAGCTGAGACCTATTACGGAGTTCCTGGAAACAGCCAAGGAGGAATCCCTGACTGCCACTGAGAAAAGGGTAACTGTGTCGAGTGCCTCCTCCTCCCTTCTGAATTCATGTAGCCCTTTTTTTTTTTTTTTTACCTCTTTTGTGGTACATAACACTTTTTACCTTGCAGTATCTTGTACATACTATACAATAAGCACCTTGAAGTTCAGATTCTTGATTCATGCCTCTGTAACTTACAACAGCTTGCATGTTATAGTCGTGTATTAAATGATTAGATACATGGATGAATGGCTGTTCCTGCTCTGACTCAGTGAGTTTTTATTATAAATTAGTTGTCCCAAGAGTTAAGTGTCTAGGTACATTTGGAATTATTATGACACTTTTCCTCCTTACAGAAATGATATACTGTTCATCTGTAGAAAATTGGGAAAACAAGCAGAAAGAAAAAAATTCAAATCTCTCACCATCTCATCATTCAGAGACAATCACTGCTAACATTTTGGAGCACGTGCTTCCACTTTTTCTCATTTGAATTATCCTGGAATGGTGTTATCATACACTTTCGTGCTTTTTTATTTACTGTACTGCAAATACATTTCCATACTAACAATATGTATTTTGGTAGCTGTATGGTATTCTGTCTAATGGACATACCGTAATTCATTAATTCTTTATTGTTGGGCATTTGTTCCAGTATTCCTCTATTATAAATATGTTGTAGAGAATATTCTTGTACACAAATCTTTGCATATTTCTAAAATTATTTCCTTAGGATAATTTTTAAGAAGTAGGATTTTGGAATAGTATAAATTTTTCAAGTACTTGATATATATTGCCAAATTGCCCTTCAAGAAGGTTATACCAATTTACTCTCTCACTAGCTAGCTACTAAAATCCTCATGAAATTGCTGGCATGACTTTTCAAGTCAACTAGATAACTGTATTTGTTGGTGTTATTGATTTCAACTTTGTGCTAAAAATATTTTTGTATCTGGCAGGAAGGAATAGGCACTGAGAACTTTTGTGGCACCAATTCTTATAACTGTGGGAAGTGGCTTAAATGTTCAGGAGAGAAAATGTTTAGAAACCACTGGCATAATGGCTAAACACTGGATTAATAGTGAAACTTGATTCTAGACTTTCTTTTTCTCAGTAATCTTGTGTTGCTGTTTTCTCATGTAAAATGGGAATAATCTTTAATCTCAATTTTATTTTGCAAAATAACTATATTTTAAAATTTTTACTGCGGCCGTGCCACCCTGAAAGTGCCCGATCTCATCTGATCTCAGAAGCTAAGCAGGGTCGGACCTGGTTAGTACTTGGATGGGAGACCACCTAGGAAGACCAGGTGCAGTAGGCATTTAAAAAAAATTTTTTTTTTAACTCCTCTGAACTTCTTAGAGAAAGATATTACACAATATTAAGATTAAACCCCTGTTTTCTCCTTAGACTTGAGATTAAGTGTACTTTCAGGCACTCAGTTAAAGTAAGTTGCTTATAGTTCCAGAGGTAACTGATTCCCTTAGTGATTTTATTCCATTGCTCATTCAAACCTTTTCCTTATTAGCTGGATCGAACGTGTCCTTTGAGCTGTTTCATTATCTTGGTAAAACAGTGTTTATAGGTATAGCCCAAACTCAGTCTCATTCTCTGCAGCCAGACAGACCACACTGTCATTTTCTTCTGTCACTTTCAGTTTACTTGACAGAAAGGGCTGAAGCAGAAGAACTTAAATTAGTTATAAATCACAAAAACACTTCTTCGGATTGGGATTCCACCAGAGCTTCATTAAGCTACTCCTTAGGAAAATTGAAGCAAAATAATAAAGCAGAAGTGTGGAAGAGCATGTCGATCGAATAGCCACAGTGTTTTGAAATCACAGGGAACAGGCACTTGCACCTTTTGGAATAGTTTTCTGTTATGGAACGATGCTCACCATAGGCACCATGGTGCTTATCTATACATATCTCAAGTTCTGTAAAAAAAATGGCAAATAGGAAAGTCTTCAGGATGAGAAACATGCAAAAATAGTAATTATTATAGCTTCCATTTATTTATTGCTTACTGTGTGCCAAGAAGTATGCTGAGGACCTTGTAAGCATATAAATTCTACCCTCATAGCAACTTTATAAAGCCATGGATATTACCCTAATTTTTAAAGATGAAGGAACAAGACATGGGAGGAGGCTGAGCAGCTCACCCAAAGACATAGCTGCTTGTGGAATACTGGAACCCAGACTTCTAAACAAAGCACATTCTCTTAACCACTGTGCATACTACTTCCTAATAATATCAGTAACCACTATCATTTATTAATGGTCACACAGAGCCTAGGAGTTATACTGGGTTCTACAAATAGTAACTTCATTTTACAGAATCCTTATAAGAACTGTGCAAGAGGAGTGGTATAGTTATCTTTTTTTACAGGTGATGAAAATAAAGTTCAAAGAATTAAATAACTTGTCCAAGCTCACACAGGCAATAAATTTTAGAACTGGTGTTCAAGCCAGGCCTGTCTGGCTTTAAAACCTATTTCTACTTTTAACAGTGTCTGGCTGCCTCATTATGTATCAGGTTATTGCTTAAGAACTAAGAGATAGCACTGAAATCAGTATGGTTTTTAGATAGAAGCTCTTAAATTTTAAATTGTGATTCATTTAGTAGAAATTAATATATATTAAACCTTAACTAAGAGAATGACTATGTTCTGTACTAACAGGAAATATGACAACTTGATTTATAATATGTACATTCCTATCATAAATATAATGTAGATATTCCTTTCATATATGTAAAACCAATTTGGTTTTGTAGCAAAATTCATTATTTTAAAATGGGAGTTAATTTGATAATGACATCCTCTACTTTTAACAGTGTCTGGCTGCCTCATTATGTATCAGGTTATTGCTTAAGAACTAAGAGATAGCACTGAAATCAGTATGGTTTTTAGATAGAAGCTCTTAAATTTTAAATTGTGATTCATTTAGTAGAAATTAATATATATTAAACCTTAACTAAGAGAATGACTATGTTCTGTACTAACAGGAAATATGACAACTTGATTTAAATATGTACATTCCTATCATAAATATAATGTAGATATTCCTTTCATATATGTAAAACCAATTTGGTTTTGTAGCAAAATTCATTATTTTAAAATGGGAGTTAATTTGATAATGACATCCTCCGGCATGCTGCCATGACTGATCTGCTTTACTCTTTCTCCTGAGAGCTGATACTTTCCCGAAGGAAAACTCAAAACTCAGTTCTGTGAATCTGTAGATTACATGTATTGAATAATCCCCTGCATAATCAGTTCCATAAGAGCCAAGTTATGGATATCGAGTCACAATCCATTAATAGTTCTATTGTAATAGGAAAATATCTGTAAAATAGCCGTCATGTGTTTTATTTTTCAACCTTTTACTGGAGCCATGTGCCCTCTGGCCTTAGAACATCTTCTAACCCACCAAAGAAGAACAGAGAATGGAATTGTGGGATGATGACTGGAACTGAAGTATGTGCCGTTGAGAATGAGAAGGATAGATAATAAAGAATCCACAAGAAAAATAATCTATAAATATACTTTAAATCTATTATTTTGGAGGCCACAGACTAACATATAAATTATTTGGGTATTCCAGTTGCTATGCAAATAAAGTAAAAAGAAGTAAAATAATAGAATTGCTCTGCAGTTGCAGCCTGTACCACTCTCACGTACTTTACTGAACAGAGATCGAAAAACACTTTAACTTGTATTAATTAATTGTCAGTCTATTTCTCAATCTTAGTGTCTGAACAAACTAAATCTAAAGAATCAGGTTAGATGGAAGCCACTTGCTCTCCCATACAGGCCGAAGTGTAAGAGTATTTTCACAAAATGCAAACTGTTGGAGGCAAAAAATATATACAGACCTGCAATTGAGAAAGATTGATTTTCATAGAGCTATTTATTTGGAAAATGTTTTAGATTTTTATTGAAACAGACTAAGGAAGAGACTAGGAAAAAAGTAACACTAGAGACCAGCGGAGGAGAAGCTGGAGATAGGGCATCTTGTAATGCCATCTTGCAGTGTTTTCCAGTGGAGTCTCAGATACACTTAGAATTGCCAGTAACTGGTGTCTGGTTGATTGCTTGCCACCGCAGGTGATTCTGAATTGCTGTGAGGGAGGAACACCCAAGGAGACAATAGAAAATTTGTTGCACAGAATGTCTGAAGAGAAGACCCTGACTGCTGAGAGTTTGGTAAAACTCCTCCAGGCTGTGAAGAAGACATTCCCGAACTTGGGCCTTCTGCTGGAGAATTTGCAGAAACTAGCCACTTTGCCTGGCACCACAGGTATTAGTTAATTGTTGACTCTCTGGACTGGAACCACTCCTACATAAAATTAAAACACCCTTTCTAGTTCCATGCTGGGGAGATAAGATAATGTTAAGAAATGCTATTGCAAAACAGAAACTGGCTGTCACAAATCAATGATTCTCAGTATTTCTGGAGTTAAGATCTGATATCCGAGAATTACTCTTCTCCATTAAGCTCCCTCATAATGTTTCAGTGATGCAGGGTGTGTTACACTGTGGCTTCCCTAGGGCTGTCATGTGTCACCTGTGAATGCCTACGGAGCAGACGGGCTCACAAGGCTTTGACAAGTTATGTTGACAAATGTGAGCAGCAAAAACTCAAATCTTGACTTCCCCATCCCACTTGAGTGCTGTTTGGTTCCAGTAGTCCCACAATTAACACCTCTCGTGTCCATTCATTTTGGAGCAATGAGTCCATATCCCATTCCTTAGAAAAACTCCAACTCTAGCCAGTACTCCCTGATCCCAGAGCATTTGAGACTAGATGGTTTTCAGAAAAAGCATATTTGGGTAATGAAAGGACTTTTTTTTTTAGCTTATAAAAGTCACATATATGAACTTGAACAGTTTGAAAAATTAGGAAGAAAACAACCTAAAATCCTACCACTTGATTATATCAATATTCACACATTGACATTTTATCTGTCCCATTGTTTTTATAATGTTAAGATACTCTACCATATTTTATAATTTTATAATTTTTCCTGTTTAACAGGATAACATAAATATTCTCCACATTACAAAAACCTCCTTATAATCCCATTTTTTGAGAAGGCTGTGTAGTTTTCCATCATAAGTATGAGTATGACATATGACTCATGCCCTTGTGTGGGGGCACATGTAGCATCATGGTTAAGACTCTCAAGACCACCTGATTTTGCATCCCGACTCGTTTTGTAGCTATATGACCGTAAGCAAGTGACTTAAGCTTTCCGACCCTCATTCTCGCCACTGTGAAATGAAGGTAAGAATGGTACATGTCACATTCGTTTTTGTGGCTACTATGACATAATACATGCATAGTGCCTAGCACATCATAGGCACTCAGTAAATACTGTTATTATCTTCATCATCATCATCATTACCACAAGTTATACAGTGACAGATACCTTGGTACGTAGATTTTTTTTTTTTTTTTTGCCTTCAGATCATTTCTTGAGGTTAGATTCCCAGCAGTACACTTACTGTTCCAAAGGAGAATACATTTTAAAATAACTGCAAAGCTAAGGGAAATGCCTGATGGTGTTGATTTTTTCTTTCTTTCAAATAAATATGACCTCTTAAAAGAGAGTACCTTGCAGATTGGCTCAAAGGGCATATAAACAGAAGAACAGTGGGTCACCTTCACTGCCACAGTCTTGACTCATGACTCATGCCTGCCTGCATTTTGGACCACCACATGGTTCCTTTACCTCAGGCTTGATGACTAACACCCCTTGAATCTGTACATCTGAATCTCTTACAAGTGCAGCCTTCTAATTACTCTCCCGTTGAGTAATCGCTAGCTTCTACCACCGGACGCTAACTTTGAAAGGCTTAGTGGTTTTGTGACCCTAAAGCACCGAGTGATTAAGTGTCGACCGAAAGAGATCATACTCATGTGTATGAGGCCCCAAGCCAGGAGCTGAACGTACTCTCCAGCGGAGACAGAGCTCTTGGCTGATCTCTCTTCCTCTCTCGCTTGTAACTCCCCTGGTCTTCTGTAGGAGAAGCCCTTAAGGAGGTTTCGTTCCAGTGAACATTATTGTTTTTGCCATTATCCTTACAGTCCAAGCAAGCCCTGAGAATTATGGGACTGAGCTATTGAGACGGTATCACGAAAACCTCTCTGAGATTTTCACAGACAACCAGATGTTACTGAAAATGATCCCAAATATGAAGAGGTTAGCCCCTGGAGAAAGAGAGGTAAGAGGGAGAAAAAAAGGGAGGGAGAGGGTCAAATGAGGTAGTAGGAAAAATGATGTGTGTATATATATATAAAAATATATATATTTTATATAAATATATACATACAGCCATGTTGAGAACTGCTAAGGGATTAGTAGAAAAAAAAGAAGATGATTCAGTTTTTATGGCAAGTAGGATAGTTGTAATTTCTGCATTAATAAGGAAAGGCATTCAAAAGGAGTATAGAACTTTGTTGTATATAGAAATCTCTCAGGTTGAGAGAGGTGTAGGATGTTGAAAAACTCCTCTGCAGAAATACGTTCCCTGTAACCCAGTACTCAGACTTACAGCTCTGTGGCTGGGCAGGCGGCTAGAAAGTCCCTTATGTGTTTGTGCTGCATCTTGAAGGTCATGGAGAAGCTTGTGAAACGTGACTCTGGTTCGGGTGGTTTCAGTTCTTTGCTGTCAGCAGTTTTAGAAAAGCAGACTCTCTCTGCAACCGCCATTTGGCAACTGCTGCTGGTGGCTCAGGAGACAAAGAACTGCCCGTTGAACCTGCTCTTGGAGGAAATACGAAGGGAGCCTGGTGCCGACGCTTTCTTCCAGGCAGGTAGGTGACCCGGCCTCTGTCATAGCTTTGCTCCCACTAGAGATTATTGTCAGGCTTCCCAGAAAACAGAAAGAACTCTCGGATGGTAGTCTTCCACAACCCTACCATTGCAAGTAAGGACTGGCAATTTTGTTCAAGAGGATAAACCTTTTTAAATAAAATATGTAGTAAGTATTCTAAGCTTATACCAGTAATTATACTCTGGATGCAGTGCTTTTTGCCATTTTCCTCAATCCCAACGCCAGGTAGGAGATAGGTGAAGTATATTCTCATTATGAAGAGCCAAGTTGAGAAAAGGTGAAGGGAAAAAATGGTGCTCGTCGTTTTACTACTGAATTTTCAATCTCCCTTTCTTTCAGTGACTGCCCCAGAAAGTGCTGCCTTAGAAACCATGCTGAGGCATCACAAATTGATCCTAGAGGCCATCCAACACAGGCTTGAAGTCAAGGGCTTTGCCTCAGAGGAAGAGCACCTAACAGAGACTGTGAAAGAGGTATGGTGGGAATATAAAAAAAAAAAACACTTTATTTTAGAGAGTTTGACAGAGTTGGTGCCTGGGACTGCCTCAGTCCTAAGGGAAGAACCAACTCCTGCTGTGTGCTGAGCCCTCTGCAGTTCACAATACTTTTGCTCTTTTAATCTTCCCAAGGCTAAGTGGCAGATGATGTCTTCCACATTTTACAGCTAAGGGAACTGAGGCTCCAAAGGGTCTAGGATGCTCCAACTGGTCAGAGATGAAGCCAATATTTGAACCCAAGTTCATGCGACTCACACCTAGATTTATTCCACTTGTCTAAAACCTTGGTAAACTCAAAAGGAGCCATGATACTGTTCTCTAACATGTTTTAAGAAGCAATTTCTTATAGAGGAAGGAAAGAAAAATGGTCTTATTACATGCTCCATTCTGGCTTTTAGAAAGAGCCAAGATAAACATAGAACAAAGCTTTTGCCCATATGGGGTAGCAAATAGTGCCAACTCATTTTCTGTAAGGCTTCTCACAGTGTGGCCAGCATCCCAGAAAAACCAGGTGGAGACTGGGAGAGAATTAATGGATGTCCAGTCCAGGAGCATGTGCAGCTTGAGTAGGGAAGAATTATAAAGGAACATAAAATTAAACTACAGATTCACCTTTAGTGCCTTTTGATCCAAGGAGGTGTGGAAGATGTGCAGAGGGCTGGTTTCTAACTGTTCACACAGGTGAAAGCCCCACCTTAGTCTGACTCTCAGATGGGAAGAAGATGGCACTCATTTCTGTGGGCTTCAGAGGAAGGATTCATCTGCTAGACTCTCTCCAGCATACCACATACTTCAGAGATGGGGCTTCTGCAATTGATCGGTTTTAGCCTCATTAATTAGTCTCATGCCTGCCTCCAGGGACATCAGGTTTATTTAGATAGACTTGAAAAGAGCAGAAATAAAATGTCTTCCAAAATGAAAATTCCATTTGGCCATCTGTGGATGGTTTAGCTTTATTTTCTCAGTGTTCTGACTCTTTCTGCTGATAGCTTTAACATTCTAAAAGAGGACGGCTTTGAAATAATATTCTTGGCCTCTTTAAAGCCCCTATTTGAACCTTCTTTAAAAAGCTGAGTTTCTTTATGAAAGAAAATGGTGTTTAAAGGGTACATCTAAGTATCAAAAATGTGAAGCCGGTGATCATGCAGAATTACTTCCAGACATTGAGACAATTATATATTATGAAAAATTATTTTGATCTTCAAGACAAAAACATTAACAACCAAATCCTACAGTTTTCCAAGCTTTTAATATTAAGATGTAGAAAAGTTCTTTGGTTTCTGAGAAGATATTTCTCATAAAAAATGCTTAATGCTTCCTTGCACATTCATCTTCACATGTGCCTCCTTTTTCTTTATTCTGTTACTTTCCCTATTCTTTGGGAAAGAGGGCTCTCCACTACATTTATCACAAGAAATGTAAACTTGTTATGGATATGGAGCAATGCCTTCCTGAAGTTAGCTTTTTTTAAAAATTGTAAACCATATAGAAAATCTGATATTAACCACAAACCTTTCTCTCTTGGTGTTCATTTAGATTTTGAGCATTTCCTGTGAAACAGCCAGCCCTCAAGTACTCCTGAGAGCAATGCTGAGCAGAGCCAAGGAAAAAGCCATCTCAGCTGTGGAGATATGTCACCTCCTGTGCGGCATCCACAGATCTTTCCCAGGCCTGCAGCCTGTCATGCAAGAGCTAGCATTCGCTGGTGAGAAAAGGGGTGAGGTGGGGGCCTCTCGGGCCCCCAGGTGGTTTCCTTGTTGGAGAGAAGAGGCAGCAGGTCATAGGAGTTAATTTATTGCTACCTTATTTATTTTATATGCTTTCAGTACTTAGAATAGTCACAAACATAGACATAAAATGATGCTCTTTATGTAAATCAGAAAGTAAAGATGGTAGTGATAATGCTTCAGAGTTTTATGAGGGTCTCAAGTAGTCTACATTCTCCTCTTAAGAAGAAAAGTTAGAAAGCAAAGTAGACACAGAGAATTCCCAGAGCCATGAGATTTCTCTCCTCTGCAGGTTTTCTTACTCAGGAAAATGGAGAGAAGGAAAGATGGAAGGTAAGTAATAAATTTCACCTTGAAGCCAACAACAAAGCAGATGAAAAGGCAGCTGAGCCCGCTGAGGAAGACTGCCAGTCTGGAAAACAGAAAGATCAAGGAGAGACCAGTTCCTTGCCAGAACAACAAGAGAAGGATGCTTCTGCCTCCCCAGACTCTGCCAAGAAGAGCTTCATCTGTAAGGCCTGTGACAAAAGCTTCCATTTCTACTGCCGCCTAAAGGTGCACATGAAGCGCTGCCGGGTGGCCAGGAGCAAACAGGTGCAGTGTAAGGAGTGTAACGAGACCAAGGATTCTAAGAAAGAGCTGGAGAAACATCAGCTGGAGGCCCATGGTGCAGGTGGAGAGCCTGAGGTCCCCAAGAAGAAGAAAAAGAGGCTTCCAGTGACATGTGATCTCTGTGGAAGAGAATTTGCTCATGCCTCAGGTACTTTCAAGAAGGCAAAGTAGTCGAGGATAATTCTGGATATTGTAATTTGGATTCCAGGCCTGGCCTCTAGTTTTTTGCAGTAAGAGCCGTGGATGGTTTAGAAATTAGAGCCATTTCCTACAGAGGCAGGGTAATGTTTGGAGAAGAGCATGAGCTTTGGGATCAGCTCTTTGAACTTTAATTTCTCATCTGTTAACCATCTACTTTTTCAGATTATAGAGATAATAGATAATCTTCTATTTAAGATAATAGAGCTGAACACCTCGTACAGTGCCTACAGTAGAGTTAGTACTCAGTGAATCGTGGCCGTTAGCATTCACAACGATAACCAGCTCCTTAATAACTGACTCTTAGGCCTCCATGCATCATCTGTTTCTTGATAATGAACAAGAGTCATGGAGGCCATGGGATGCAGAGTCAGAATTATTTTCTCTTGCCCCAGATGTTGGATAAACCTAACGAAACATAAAAGTTGAGTTTTGTTTTACCCTTTTGGGGTGACTGGGTCCTCTTTAAGAGAGAGAGAGATTGGATGGGAAAGGTAAACCCCAGATACTTCATACCTAATTAAACCATGAATGGGACCGAGGTGACTTTTGGGGCAGATGGGCAGCATGGGTATGAGATGAGCAGCTATGTGAAGTCAGAGCGAGCATAGCCCAGCGTCCTGTGGTTCATACTGTGCTTCCTCTTGAGGCCTGGACTGAGACAGTGCTATGTGATGTATCCTCATGCTGGCTCCATGACACTGATTACGAGTATCTCTCTGGTCCCTGGCATGGCTTCCCTAGGCATGCAGTACCACAAACTGACTGAGCACTTTGACGAGAAGCCTTTCTCCTGTGAAGAGTGTGGGGCAAAGTTTGCAGCCAATTCTACCCTGAAGAACCACCTTCGCCTTCACACTGGGGACCGCCCGTTCATGTGCAAGCACTGCCTCATGACCTTCACCCAGGCCTCCGCCCTGGCTTACCACACCAAGAAGAAGCACTCAGAAGGTAAGGCATGGGGAATTTCTTCATTTCTCCTGCAGCCTTTAACCGCGTGAGCTGCCTAAAACCCCACTTGGAATCAGTCATGGTATATGTATCTCAAGAGGATTAAAAACAAAACAGAACGTAATAAGGTCTCTAGGCACACAGATGACTAGCAATACGCTTGTGCACAGGCATGTAAAATGCTATGGTGAGAATTTCTGAAGAGAGACTTGAGTAACATAGTGTTACGACCTTATAGTTATAGAATTTACATAAAGCCAGGAATTCCTTGGACTTTGAGGTGGAGTTTAAGCATGAGAAGCACCTTGGTTGAGCACCTCCTGTGGATTGGGCAGTGGCAGGTGCCGAGAGACTAAGCTGGAATTCCCGTGTTCACAGCGCTGATGGTCTCGAGTGTCTGGTGTAGACACAGTGACAGTGTGGCATCATCAGTGGTGTAATGTGGAATAAGACCAGGGAGTTGGGAAGAATGAAGTAGGGGTTTCTAGTCCAGGGGAGGGAAGGAGCCTTGTCAGGGAAGACTGCTCCGAGGATTCTGTGTATAGTTTGGAGCATTTATGTGTAGGTAATAATGCCATCATCACCTCACCTGGATGTTTTTGTTGCCTCCTAACTGGCTTCCTTCCCTCACCCTTTCTCTGAACAGTGTTCTCAATACACAGACTCAAGTGATCCTTTTGAAACTAAACTATAGTCTACGGCAGTGCCACCCTGAACAAGCCCAATCCCGTCTGATCTTGGAAGCTAAGCAGGGTTGGGCCTGGTTAGTACTTGGATGGGAGACCACCTAGGAAGAACAGGTGCTATAGGCGTAAAAAAGTAAAAAAATAAGGGATTGTAAGCTGACAAGGTCCTTGCAACCTGTAAGGTCAATCAAGGGTTGTCTCGCCAAAAAAAGAAAAAGAAACTATATCCTGTCGCTTCTCTGCTCAAAACCCTACAAAGGCTTGTCACCTGTAAAACTGAAGGCCTTAGCAGACCCTCGTGATCAAGTTCCTTGTGATCAAGTCCCCTGATGATCTCTGACCATCTCTGACTTCCCGCCCCTCAGCCGCTCTGCTCTACCCACTGCAGCCTCCTGGCGAGGCCTCCGACTTGCAGTTCCCTGCCACGGGACCCGTGTCCTCGCCCTCCCCTCTGCTCGGAATGCTTTCCCTTCAGACCCCTCCGTGCTTCACTTCCTCACCTCTTCAAGTGTGCTCACACTCCCTCTCCTGCACGAGTCCTCTCCTGACCACCCTGTATAAAATCTCAGCCACCCAGTCCCAGTCCCCTGCCTCAGTTTCCTCCATAGTGGTTATCATGATATATTATCTACCTATTATTTGGTAGTCCCCCGCCCCCCGTTGGAATGCAAGCTTCATGAGAGTAGAGCTGTTTGTCTTTTTTTTTTTCCCATCTGTGGAACTCAGAAGAGTACTTAGCAATAGTAGGCCCTCAGTAAACATTTACTGATTAAATGAGTTTCTCGAGCCCTATCCTAGGCACTGAGGATAGTGTAACTATACACGCCCTGCTCTCATGGAGCTTACGTCCCAACGGGTACAATAGACCCTAAAATAATGAATGTGGAATATAAACTCAGATTGTGCTCTTGCTATAAAGAAAAATAAAGCAGGGTAACCAGCAAGAGAATGACAGGGTTGGGGGTGGGGCACTATGTTATATCAGAGAAGGTCTCTGAGAGATGAGATTTGAGTAGAAACCTGAAGACGTGGGAGATGGGACCAGAGGAAGCTCTAAGAGGAAAGCACCCTAAGTGCAGAATGAACCTGAGCTGTTTGAGAGACCAGAAAAAACTAAAAGGGGCCAAAGCAGGGTAAATGAGGGAAGGGTTTTGAGAGATGAAGTCACAGAGGACACCAAAGGCCACATCTTGCAGAGTCTTATAAGCCAAAGTAGGACTTCAATTCTTATGTGAACTGTGCTAGTTTCTATGGCTGCTGTAAAAAATTACCATAAATAGTGGCTTAAAACAACACAATATATTATCTTACTGCTTTGGAAGTTAAAAGTCCAAAATGGGTCTTACGAGGCGAAAACCAGTTTTGGCAGTGTGTGCGCCTTCTGGAGGCTCATCCCTTGCCTTTCCCAACTCGTAGAGGTTGCCCGCGCTCCTTGGCCCACAGCGGCTCCACTCCTGCCTCTGCATCTGTCATCACGCCTCCTCCTTTGACTCTTCTTTCTCATCTCAGCATCCTTAGCTTAATCTCATCTACAAAGTCCCTTTGCCACATAAGGTAACAATATTCACAAGTTTCAGGGGATGTGACATGGACATCTTTGGGGCCATTATTCTGGCTACCACAGGAAGCTATAGGAAAGATTTGAGCCAAGGAGTGATAGGATCTGATTTACATTTTTTAAAGTTAATTCTGTCCACTCCGGACAATGGATTATAGGTAATAAGGCAAGACTATAGTATAAACAGAGAGACAGGAGGCATTGCAAGTAGTCTAGTGTAGAGGTTGACAGAACTGTCAACTAGAGTTGTGCTGGGCGGGGTGTGAAAAATGGTTATGTTCGGGTCTATATTGTTGAAAGTGGAAGTAACAGGACTGCTGATGGGTTCTGGATGAGGGATGTGAGGGAGAAGAGAATTAAGGATGGCTGTGGAGTTTTTGGCGTGAGCAACTGGGTGAACGATGCTGCCCGAAGTGGGGAAAATTGGAGCGAGAGGATAGGTAGAGAATCTGGAGCTCCGTTTTGGATATGATAAATTTAAGATGCCTATTGGACCTCCAGGTAGAGAAGGAGAGTAATAGGCAGTTGGATATAGAAGTCTGGCGTTCTGGGGAAAGCTGGGAGCTGGAGACATAAATGTGGGTACTTGTAGTGTGCAGATGGGATACAAGGCTCTGAGATAAGATCATCTAGAAAGCGAGGATTCAGAAGAGGGCCAAGGACTAAGTCTGGGGCTTCTCAATAACATTAACTCTTGACTTAAGAAGCCCTTTTTTTCTAACAGAATCTTATTTCAAAGCCAACTATGTAAAAACGAAAATGAGGTTGACTGCCGTAGTTTAAGTAGGCCGTAGGACTTGGGAGGTCTGGGCCCTCGCCTCACTGATTTCCCTGCTTTTCTTTTGGTCCATAAGGGAACTTGGAGGTACAGTTGGTGTAGCGTTTTTTACAAGTGCCAGTTTCCCAGACTTGCCCTTTACCATATTTTCTAACAGTCTCTGTCAGTCTGGTCATTATATTCTCATCATGTGAATGAGAAAATAGAGAAGCCAAGTGGTTCGTAATAACTGTAGAGAGTCACTGGGGGAAGGCTTTCGTTTTTCTCTAATCCATGTCTCTCGCCTTTATGTGCAGTTGCAGTTCTGCACTGAATGAATATGTTTCCAGGGCTCCAGACTGGGGTGTTTCTGGGCACAAGGGTATCTCTGTTTCCTGGGAGTGGAATGAGCTCTTCCATTCTTGTGGTGTCCTGGTTAACAGATGGGTAATCTTGCGTGATAAGAACTCTGTCCTTATTGCTCAGGGTAGGGAGACCACACTGACACCCTGTCTGTTTAATCAGCTGTGTTTGTGAGGTATCGTCTGATAGGATGGCTCACATCTCTCACTCAGTGTATTACAAATTGCCTGATGTTTTACTGTTATGTTGCAAATTGTATTTCCAGGCCTTAGAGTGTGATTTTCTTTAGGAGTGCCATAAATGTTTAGTGCTGGCTCTAATAAACTCATGTATATTTCCAGGAAAAATGTATGCATGCCAGTACTGTGATGCTGTGTTTGCCCAGTCCATCGAGCTGTCCCGCCATGTGAGGACCCATACCGGGGACAAGCCATATGTCTGCAGGGACTGTGGCAAGGGCTTCCGACAAGCCAATGGCCTCTCCATCCACCTGCACACCTTTCACAGTATGTACTGAGGTTTTGGATGTCGGGCACTCAGCACCAGGCCTGGCCCTGAGAAGACTTGTAACAATCACAACCGAATTGTCACTTCACCAGAGCTGGGCCCCATTCACCGCCTTCCCCTCACGGTTCTGCTAAACCTAAAGTCCCTCATTTCTATTTCAAGAGAAATCCCATTTCAACATGTCATTGTACGATGCCTATTTCTCTGTCCAGACTACTATTTTGTCTTCCTCTTTAGCTCACCTGGCCCTGTTTGGCTGAAGGAGGCAAATTATGTTTGAAGGAAAGAGCCTCTGTAACAGACAGGCTCGCTGAGCTCCAGAATATTCTCATTAGTCTATTGAGCTTCTGTTTTCTACTCGTGCCCTCCTTCCCCGCTCTATCTTATGGTCATACCCGCCTTCTCCCAGAGGAGCCACCTGGACACTCTCTGAGTTAATCCATCGTAAGTGGTCCCTGGTCACACTCCCTTAAAAGCCTTCTGCCAAGATTCTCTTACAAATGTCATTGTATTCACTCAGTTAATGGGGTCTGCCCCCATCTTTCTCCCCTTCTACTAGAACTGATACAGACAAAAATACACTTCTACTGAACACACACGCACAAGAAGGAAGAGGAACTTCGTGATTCCCCAGTACATCATCAGGAGCTGGCCATGTGACACCTGGCTGGCCACCTCACATTTTCAGCAGCTGCTGTTGCTGCAGCAGGAGCACAGCACAGCAGGGGGTTAAGAGCTTGGACTCTGAAATCACACAGGCCCGGATTTGCGTCTTGACCTTGCCATTTACTTCCTTGAGACCTTAAACAAATTCCTTTACCTACCCTAAGCCTCTTAGGCCTCTTCTGTAAACTTAAAGGAAATAATCACGCCAGCACCTTGGATCGTTGTGAACATGAAGTGAGCTATCACATGTAAAGCATGAAGCTCCATATCTGACACACAAAAAAATGCTCAATAAATGCCAGAAAGTGTGACAAGAACAACCCCTTCGGGTGTCATTTTCCAGCATCAAACCCTGTCTTTCTTGCATGCCATGCACCATGCACACCCTTCTTCCTTCCTCCTCTCCCCACGCCTGTTCCCCATACACCAGTTTCTACGTTTTGGCAAAGGCAGTGCCTGCGCTTCATGTCAGCGCATTCAAATTTCCCACCAGCCAGCTGGCAAAGGACTTTGCCAGTGCTCCTGTGTGCCTAGCACATGGCTGGACACTGGGCAATGCAGAAAGAATATAAAGTGCCACCCTCTCCACCCTGCAAGGAGTTTACAAGATTGTCCAAAAAAATTCCATTGCAGTAGACTTCCAGATGAGTGAGATCGGCTTGGATCCAGTGCCTCCATTTTGATATCCTCTCGACCCTTTTAAATGACATTCTGCTTTAGTCTCCTTTTCCCAGTAGCTTTATATAGAAGTCAGGAATGGGAAGACATCAGTTTTCACAATGGAGAGGACCCGAAACATTTTGCCATGACTTAGAGCAGGGGCCCCCATTCCCCAGGCCGTGGACCTGTACTGGTCCGTGGCCTGTTAGGAACCAGGCCACACAGCAGGAGGTGAACAGCTTGCGAGGGAGCAGAGCTTCATCTGTATTTGCAGCCGCTCCCTAGAGCTAACATCACCGCCTCAGCTCCACCTCAGATCATCAGGCATTAGATTCTCCTAGGAGCACCAGTCCTGGTGCCAAAAAGGTCGGGAACCACTGCCTTAGGGTATATCGTTGACAGCAGGCCCAGCATCCAAGTCCCTCTCTGACTTCCTTACCTGTTTCATAGGAGCCCATCACTGCTTATGGAGAACTACTTCATAGTATCTGAAAAGACAGTGTAAAAACCAAGATTTTAAGAGCTCATGTCCACAGGGAAACTAGTTAATGATACCGAGTACTGCTGCATGTCAGAATTCCTGATTAATCTGAATCACTGCACATATAAGATTGGCTCATGGGCTGTACCTTTCTTGTGGGCAAAGGGTTTTATTATTAAAACATTTTGCTTTCTGTTGTTTTCAGAAAGACTGAAGTTCCCTGCCATAGGGATGGCAAATATATTCTTCATCAGTGCTAGTTCTTATTTTTGAGATCCCACTGAAGAATTGGCTCATCCAATTAAGCATGTAGCTCAGAGAATGGCCTTGGGAGTGAAAGCTGGGATTGTGACCTACTTCAGCCATTTCCTGCTTGTGTTCTTGGGCACGCCACCAGCCTTGATTTTCCTCATCTATAAAATAGGACTGGTAGTAGAACCTATTCATAGGACTATTGGAAGGACTAAGTGGGTTAATAAATATGAGGCACTTAGAAGGTGCCTGTCATATGGCACTCTTTAAACATTACCTATGAAAGTATTTTTATTATTGAATCTAAAGTGGGATGCAGGGAGGCATTCCTCCTGTCATTCGTATGACTGACAACAAAAGAAGTAGTGGTACTCTGGGGAATGTGTTGGAAATCTCTATAGAGAATTGGAAAACAAAATGCCCACTGCAAGCAAGGGAAGAGGAAGAGCAAGAGCGATACACCCTGTAAAGTAAAATGGAATTTAACGTGTAGATGTAAAATGCGGAATTGAGGTGAACTATTTGACACTGCCGAAGTGATTAATTTAGAAGCCTCGGAGGAGTCCCACCTCCTAGGATGAAGGCAGGGGGTAGTCAGGTGATCGCTGCACTGACTTCTGGTCTTTGAAGTCTGTGACCTTATATGACCTCTAAATAGAATCTTGTATATGGAGCTGCACACAACAGCCCACACCTCACTGCTGCCTGTGTTGTTTTTTTTTCCCTCCACCCCTTCCTCTCATGGATGTCCCTCATGGAACCAGACATAGAAGATCCCTATGACTGCAAGAAATGCCGGATGAGCTTCCCCACACTGCAGGATCACCGCAAGCACATCCACGAGGTGCACTCCAAGGAGTACCACCCCTGCCCCACGTGCGGGAAGATCTTCAGCGCCCCTTCCATGCTGGAGCGGCACATGGTGACCCACGTTGGAGGCAAGCCCTTCAGCTGCGGGATCTGCAACAAGGCCTACCAGGTGACCTCAGCTTCCCCTGGGAGCCCTTTCCCTGTCCCTGACCCACTCTCCCTTTGGTCTTCCTTGATTCCCATTTTGTGTCTTGCGGAGCACATCTTGTCTCCAGGATATGATGATTTGGCCAATTCTCGTGAAGAATGCAGCTTGTAATAATTCAGATTCTCCGGGTGCCCTGGCCAGTCAGGCAGTGGGGGAGCTTAATTGGATCAGAGTTCTCACGCCTCTGAACTGATGCTGCTGGCCCCCTTGGGTGCTTACATTCCTTAGAACCTACTGACCCCATGTGTCAAAGGACATGAGAATAACAATAGGATGTGTAACACTGCCTGGAATTATCTTGTTTAGTACAATTTTTTTTATTTTTTATTTTGACTCCCAGAGAAGGGCTCTGCTTTTTTACCTTAGAATTTGAAATGTATTTAAAGTGAAACTGCATATAGAACTAAAAAAAAAAAATCACATCTGTGAGAAACTCTAAGCCCACAGAGAAAAGAATGGTCTTTGCTGGCCTCTGTAGATTTGGGTATAGAGGAGGAGCCAGCAGTTAATTTCAGTTTAACAAAAATTGAGAATTAACTTTGTGCCAAAACTTGTGTTGTAAGGTTACTGTTACAGAACTGAGACCTGGGCTTGGTCTCTAGGAAACCGTAGAATTGTCGGGAGAGTATCCCGATGCTTCTCTGAACCCAGGAGGGAGGGGGACACTTGCTTATGGAATAGGGACATTGTGCACCTCGGTTCCTCATGTTTCTCTGCCGCACCCCTGGGCCTCGGGGAAGCAGTGAGGTTGATACAGCTCGGTGGTGAAAAACAGATGCTCTAGTCATTTGGAAGGTCAGGATTTGAATCCTGGTCCTACTATTTACTAATCGTGTGACCCTGGGCATATCATCTAACCTTTATGTCTCAGCTTCTGTCTCACTGGGAAGATTCTAACTCCTCCCTCACAGGCTTGTTGTGAGGAGCGAGTTTCTCTGCTGAGCCCTGCTTGTTAGCAGCCTCTCAGGAGACACCAGGTATCTTATTCCCACAGACACTAGCCTCCCTCACATCAGCTTGCTGGAACATTGTATGACCTAACACTTACCAAATTCCTTGCAGCAATTGTCTGGTTTGTGGTACCACAATCGAACCCACCATCCTGATGTGTTTGCTGCTCAGAACCATCGATCTTCAAAGTTCTCGTCACTCCAGTGCAACTCCTGTGACAAAACCTTTTCCAATACCATTGAACATAAGAAGCACATCAAAGCGGAGCATGCAGGTGAAGTTGGGATGCCGTAGACAAGGGAGGGTGAGCTGATGAGTGGTAGTGGCTTGATGACACAGCATCCTGGGTTCTATCCCCAAATCCTGATTTCCAGTGCTAGAGTGTGGTGTGCTGTGGCAATTACTTTTGTTCTGCCCCAGCACACCTGAAGGATGCCACGCTGGTCCATCCGGAACAATAGCTTGAGTGGCAGTGGTACTGAAACTCAGAGACCTAGGGCAGTGTAAGCTCCTACCAGCCCCTGAGTGAGTCATGGGAAAGGTAGCAGTTTTGGTAGCAGATAGGCCTGGGTGCAAATTCTGATTCCAGCACTCATCAGCTGCATGACCTTGGCAAGTGACTTCTCTTTTCTGAGTCTGTTTTCTCTTCACAATGGTCATTATTAATACATACCTTGCAGATAGACTTGGGGATAATCACAATAGCCAGCAATTATGAAGCAGTTCCTGGTTTCAAGGCGCTATACTCTATACTCCACATGTGTTTGTCATTTAATTCTCACCATGACCCTGTTTGCATCCAGGTAGTCTGGATCCAGATCTGGGGTCTTTACCACTAGGTTGTACTAATATATCAATGGGGTAAGGTTCCTGGCAGTCGGTAGATGCTTTTCTGAGTGTTAGCCATCACTCCCACCCCAGCCCTGTTATTCTCCAGACTTAGCCATGTTTTTGTCCTTTCCTCATGTGGTTTGCAGATATGAAGTTCCATGAATGTGACCAGTGTAAGGAGCTCTTCCCCACGCCAGCTTTGCTGCAGGTTCACATCAAGTGCCAGCATTCAGGTCAGTGCCCGCAGAGATGCTGTTGAGCTGCACTGCCCAGTGTGAATCTCCTCTCCACCACTCACAGCCCCACAACAACCCAGGCTAAGTAACTTGTGCCTCAGTGTCCTCATCTATGAAATGGGAACAATTGCAGTTCCTACCTCATCGGGTAACTGAGAATTGAATATGCTAGTAAACAGAAAACACTTAGCACCTGGCATCAGTAAGCATCCCTAAGCATTACCCACGATTATCACTGCTGCTGCTGTATTTCATCAAGTCTAAAATGCCAGTTATAAAATACAGCTTTTAATGAACCATTAAGAAAGAAAAATTACTGCCAATTAAACTATGCTTTCTTATCACTTAGAATTTATAGGTTATTCTAAGTGCTGCTTTGGACTTAATTTGACACAGCTTTTTATGCACTCCTGTGCACATACATTAAAAGGAATACAGAAGAAATAAATATTAAGGTAAGAATCCAGCTTCTCAGAGCAGCTTTCGATTTAGATTGTCAACACATGTGTTGTCCTACATGGTGTTGTCCTCTGCCATCAAGAGCACGGGTGATGGAGCACATAACGAGGCCGCTGGTTTTAGTCTCAAGCACCATATGAAACTAGTCCACTTTTAATTCCTGTTTGGGGAATGTCCAAATGTTCCGAACATCCACGCCTCGTCTCGTCTCTCCTAAACCTTTGGGTCTCTGTCCATTAATGGTGTGCACTGCTCCCGTCTTAGGCGTTTCCTTCCACGCCACGGACACGTTCTGCAGGCCTCGATGCTGCCGGACTCCACCAGGTGTCGGTGCTCACACGTGCACGGTCATTGACGATTATCCCCAAATGGCCGCAGCAGTCGTAAGATGTCGTTGAATCCATTTCAGAGACTTTAAAATGTACTTCTTAGAACTGATGAAAATGCAGTGTCATCAGCATCATTATCTACAGTCGAATGAATACCAGGCTTCAGCAGAGGCAGATGTAGCCTGAATCCAGTGCTCCTGAAGCCGTGGCTTCAGGGAAGCCTGGGTCCCCCAGAACCTGGATCTGCCTTTAGGCCTTTGGGCCCCAGTCCTCGTTGCTCCTTCCTGTTCCCACTCCCTACTCTTGCTTCTCTCTGTCGTCCCCCCACAGCCCATCCCTTCTGTCTCTCCTCCTCCAGGGTCACAGCCATTCAGGTGCCTGTACTGCGCGGCCACTTTCCGCTTCCCTGGAGCACTGCAGCACCACGTCACCACGGAGCACTTCAAGCAGTCGGAGAGCACCTTCCCCTGTGAGCTCTGCGGGGAGCTCTTCACCTCCCAGGCCCAGCTGGAGGGCCACTTGGAAGCCGAACACCCAAAGGTGACAGGCAGTGAAACCCAAGCAGCATCTTCGCAGATGGTGCAGGTGACTTAGGGGCCACCAGACACGAGGGGGCTGTCACGGGCTTCCTAAGGCTTTTCTAAACGCAGCTGTCACTACCCCAGCCTTTTCCTCTGCAGCTCTCAGAGGGCTTGTCAGCAATGCTTTTATCAGCAGGAGGACCTGTAAGAGTCTCTCTGGACCACTTACCACGCAGAACAGGAAAGACTAGTGTCCTGGTGGCCACATGCGAGATGGTCCCTGGGTAGTCGGAGCTTAGAACAAGAATTTCCAAAAGCTGAATGACCTTGGCTTCTCCTCCCAGTTCACACACTTCCCCACCTCCTGTGAGAGTTACGGGAAAGCTCAGAGAAGGGTGGACGGCCTTTTGTTGAGGACACTTTCATTTGAAACACTTGAATTGCTCCTCCAGGCTGGGCACAGGACACGTGTAGACATGTCGGGCCTCTGCCTTTACTGGGATGGAAAGCCGGTTCTCCTGATGCTTCAAGGCTAAGCTTGCTCCAGCCTTGTGTCTCTCTGTGTCTCTCGTCCTCTTTACTGCTCTTCCTGTCCTCTGCAGAGAGGGTGGGCGAAGAAGGAAAAGCAGCGCCCTTCTGTTGATTGGCAGTGATTTGTGAGCGGACTGGAGAGGAACTCCAGACTGATTGTGTGTCCCACTGTCCAGCCTCCTGGAGCAGTCCTTTATAAACCACGTTCTCCAGCCTTGTGGGGAGCAGAGGGCAAGTCAGGCGGGTGGGCCTCTGGGCGATACTCTTGCTGCCATATCAAGCAAAGTGGCTCTGCTTTGAGCTTTTTCATATATTCAGATTCTTGGTAAGATGTTCTTTGCAGGGAAAAAGATTCCATTGCTAAAAGAAAGAAAACGTGCTTTGGAAACTACTCTCCTCGATGATTTTTGATGGAACATCACAGTTGGTCTCTTTACTCCCGGCAGCGCGGAGACGTGGCTGAGCTTGGCTTCCCCGCTGCTGCCTGCACACATCTAGTGTTCTTCTCCCTATTCCTGGCCGGTTCTCAAGAGCCAGGGTGCCTGTGCCCTCTGCGGGCTCTCTGGTTTGAAAATATCGGGGACATCAAGCTGCCCTGATATCCACAGGTCAGAAGCATCAACTTAGAGGTTCAGGCAGGAACTGGGTGGATTTACCCACTGAGATATGAAGGTCATCTTTAACGGATGATGCAGATATGACAGGTGTGTATGGCCTGTGAAGGAGAGGAGGTGCCTGCCTTGCCGCCCTGCAGATATGACAGGTGTGTATGGCCTGTGAAGGAGAGAAGGAGGTGCCTGCCTTGCCGCCCTAGTGAGCCAAACGAGTGAGTTGACAGAAGCCACATTTCGTCTTCCTGTTCTTCCTCCTATAACCATTAGCTCTGTGGCCATGTAGCCACCAGGGAAGTTCTTAGCCTGATCAAGGTCCAGAGATGCCATCTTTGGCAAGGGGAGGCTTCTGCTAAATCATTCCAGTTTCCATGGTTCATGCGTGAGAATAACCACCTTCCGTAGCATTCCTTTCACATGGCACTTACCTCTGCAGTGTTGTCCTCGAGACAGGAAAACCCAGTGTGAGAAACTGCGCCAGTGCTCGCTGATGTAATCATAGAGTCCAGGCACCCTGAGACGGCATACTGAGCTAAATTACAGCAATTTAGCACACAGAGTTATTTAAATTGTTTGTCTGCCTTCTCTTTTGCATCACTGGTGTGTTAGATTTGCCTCTTCCCATTAGGCACATGTAATTGCTCTCCTCAGGTGAAAACATAAATACCATCATTACAGCATGAGATGAAAACCATGTAAATTCTGGGGAGCTAAGTGTGGACACTGCCCAGAGCAGCCTCACGGTCTTTCCCTTTCAGGTGATCCAAACCCCAGAGCCGGCAGCCTCAACGGAGCAGGTGATCACTTTGGAGGAGACACAGCTCGCTGGTTCACAGGTGTTCGTGACCTTGCCAGATTCACAGACATCTCAGACCAGCTCTGAGCTCGTGGCGGTGACCGTGGAGGATCTGCTGGATGGCACCGTGACCCTGATCTGTGGTGAGGCCAAGTGAGTGGCTGCCCATCCAGTGGAGGGGTCCTGCGTTTGCAGCAGAGAGAACGCTCCACAGCTCACCCTTTGCCATCCACCCCAGACTACCCTGAGTGGTGAGCATCTTAGTCTTGCACCAACCAAAATGGTCTCACTTGGAAAACAGATGGAAGAAGCGACATTGTTCTCACAGAACCAGCAATGTCCGAGTCGTTAACGCTGACACCACCGCCCTCCATAGCAGGCAGGCCTACTTCCCCAGAGGCCTGCTGCTGTGGCCTCTGTGACACTGGCCATCTCCAAGTAGAGAGAGCTTCAGAAAGTCTGAAAGAGCAGCGAGATGGGAGCTGGGGACCAGGGTAACTGTGTGCTGTGCCGGCAGTTCTCAGTGTGCCGAGTGGCAGAAGTGGGACCGTGACCCACAGACTGGGCCTGCAACACTGCCATTGCCTTCTGGCCATTTAAAAATGAGAGAAAAGCACCAACGGACCATCCAGGGACCTCCAGCCTGAGCACACTTGGCCCTCCCCTCACTTCTGTCATCCTCCCAGCAGCTTTGATCATCCAACCCCCCCACCCCCCATGGTGGCAGTAGGACAGGTAGCAGCGCATTAATGCCCGAAGGCCTCATTTCCGTGCCGAGTCCCACCTCGTCAGTACAGTCAGCCCTTCTGAAAACGAAGCCTTTGGAACGTTTCTGCTGGGAGTGTTCAGTGTGGCCATCCCGCTAAAAAGACACTCCCTGCCTTTCCATGATACTCAACGGTGTTCCGTACCTGAGGCCAGTTCCTGCAGCCTTCCCACATTATCCTCATCCTCTTCCCCTCATCAAAGCCCACAACTTCTACCTGACCAGGAGGCCTTGCCCCCTCCCTCGGAGCATATAATAAAGCTGAAGAACCCGCGCCAGATGGAGTAGTGCTCTGACTGCCCCTGGCTCTGTCTCCTGCCACCGTCGTCCAGGCCAGTGCGTGGCCTGCTGTCTGAGCTCTTGCAGACTGCCACCGCTACTGCAGGTCAGTGATCCTTTGGAGTCTGAATTTCACAAAGCTTTTTTATCTTCAATTCCTAACATATAATCTGATAATTAATGGTTTGTGGAATCCATTATGAAGTGCAATTAGATGGACGTAGGTTCCTGCCGTTTGAAGGGAATGACTAGCATTTATCTTCCTTTCCTTGAAGCCTGGTAAGTGCAGCGTTTACATGCTGGCAGGGCTTCCTGCCACATTGCGTGGCTTCACCCCCTGCGGAAGGTAGTGTCCAGTGTGATCACTGGTTCTCACGCTGTATAGGCAGGCAGAAGACTAGCTCACCCCTTTTCTCCAAGTACGTCCCCAGGTACAGGCAGGATTGGGGGGTCGATTTTGGTCATGGTCTGGACTTTTATTGCCACACACTGCTACAAGGGCAGAAGGTGGGTCCTTAGTACTGGCTGGTATGCTTGCTGGCCGGCCCTCCAGCTCTGTGTAATCAGCGAGTTCCAGCTTGAGCCAGCTTACCCAGGTGGCCACTCCTTCTTCCAGTGTGTCCTCATTTTGATATGCAAATCACTTGAGCTTGTCAGCTCAGGGATCTTTGTTCTGAAGTAAATGAAGTTTTCAAAGGCATGTCAGCCTCAGAAGCCAAAAACTGACCAGAAGATGGTGCTCAAACCTTTAAGACTTCGCCTCCACACGAAGCCCTCACTTCTTGTGCCAAGGCTGCCTCTCTGTCTTAAGGCTTTTCAGTCCTGGGAGCTGTCAGACCAGGAGAGCTCTTGATCTGCACGTGGTGAACTGGAGCTGGATCTCCCCCGACAGTAGATGAAACCTGCCGAAAGAGAGTGGAGTGGCCTGTGCTCACAGGGCCTTGAGGCCAAGCCCAGCAGATGAGAATGTAGCTCCTCAAGAGCCATGGCTGTGGCTGGAAACTGCAGTGTCATCAAAACTTCTAACAGCCAAAACACAAAATAAATAAAAAATTAACTGTCGAGGGCCCATAGGGGAAAGTGATTTTTCTTTTTAAAGTCTTCTGAATAAAGAAAGCTCTAAGTTTTAAATCCAAGTTTCAGATCCTTTCAAGTACTAAGAAACCCTCTCTCAGGTTTCTGACGGACCCAGATTGTGACATGACACGCGTTTTCTTCAGACTCACCAGTCTAGCAGCTCTGCTGTGCTCAGAGCAAACGGAAGTCGAACTTGCTGCTGGGTAGACTCTTGCCCATGGCCCACTCGTCATAGGGCGTGAACCCTGTGCTCATTCCAGTCAGGAATGAGGGAAGGTCCATCTTGAATTTAGTCTTTCCTCTGAGTGGACCTTTGAAATTTGCTACATTGGCGATGATCTTACAGTGTTACTCTCTAGAGACTCCCAAGTGTGGATTTTATTGTAGGAAGACTTTTTCTAGCTCTACTTGGCCATTTTTTTCTTTTCTCCCACTTCTGCCCAAGAGACCTTCTGAACTGCTGCCACAGAAGACATTGTCATCATGGCCTCCTGAGTCCGCATCACTTGCTTCAGTATGGCAGTGGTGTTCTCTTAGCTTCGTTGCCATGGCGGCTGTCCTGTAGCCTCTAGGCTGAACCCTAGGGCACTACGGTGATATGGAGGAGTCTCTGGGCTTCTCAGAATACTTAACTCTGTTCAGTGAGACCCCAAACCTCAGCTCCCAGAGCTCATGAAACAGCTGGTGAGGTGGGAATGGCAGGCAGATTCCACGCTGGAGTCTAGTTCTTTGTGAGTGATGGCAGTCACGTATGGAACAGGACTCGCCCTTCCCAGGTAAGTAAGAGAGCAAATAGATGATTGACGAGCAAGCATTGCCATAGGAGGATGGGACTGTCCGAGTACATGAGCAGAATCTGGGACCAGCAGGGCAGCACAGGGCCAGAGACGAAGGTCTCGTTTGTTTTATAAAGCCCATCTCTTCTCTCTCAGAAGCTTTATGTTTGGAAAACTTCTAGCCCAGCGCATACTGCAGTCTGCAGTATGGATTCTGGGTTCCCCCGGCGATTCCAGTCTCTGACTCGCCCCTCCCACTGACCACAGAACACAAATCACCCTCATCCCCCAGGGAAGAGCTCTGGTAGGCTGGAGGCTGAAATGAGATCGAGTCCAACTGGGATGAATGGGGCGAATGTCACCTAATGGTCCAAATCAGGAGATGAGGTGGGCCCTAAGACTTTCTCCTTCACCCCAGGTGATGTTGCTGATGACTTATTAATGAGGTAGGAGGGATGTGCCTTTAAATCTCACGTGCCTAAGGTCTATGAATTGACTAAGGGATGGAAGAAGCTGCTCACCTTACGTCGAATGGTTCTTACAAGCAATATTTCTTTTAAATTGGGGCTATAAAGTTGGGCAGTGATAGGAAAAATGCTGGCATGTTTTAATCAGTCCTCCCAAAGGAAGAATTCAGCGGCCCAGCCCTACTCAGCTTCTCCCAGGTATTCCAGGGACACTCAGGAGGGAGAGAGAAAATGGGAGTAAGAGGAAGACTTGGGGTTGAAGGGAATGTGAAGGCAAATTGGTAATTGTTGCCATGGAAAACACTGGGGCTGGTAGGACTTGGGCCAGAAGCTCAGGAAACTCACCTATGACTCGACTTGTAACTAAGAGAAGCTGTCTGTACTTTGGGGATTATGTTGCTGAGAAAAAAGTATCCCCTGGGCTAACCGAATTTAGATCTCTTCCAAATCACAGAAATGGTTATCGTTTCCCTTGCCTGGGCCAGCCTCTCCTGCTACCGCCCGTGGTCAGGACAACTAGCCAGCACACGATGCTGTATAAATTGGATTACAAAACATTATTTGTGTCCACCTTGCACTATTCTATATAAATAAAATATGTACTTTGAAAAAAAATGATTTTGTGTGAGTTTCAAATGGACTGTGATGAAACAGACCTGTTTTCTTTTTGGCTCTGGGCAGCTGTTGAACAGGCCTCGTAGGCCTGGTTTCCTAGGAACTATTGTGTATCTTCAGGCCGTGTAGCATGGAGGGGGTAAGGGGCGCTCTCCTGTCCTATGGGAGTCTGGTTTCCTGAACCCTCTTTCCCAGGGAGCAAGTGCGGTGCAGTGTTGCAGAGACAGGCTTTGGTGTCAGACTTGGGCACGTCCCAGCTATGCCACGTTCTGACTGTGTGACCTCAGGTGGGATACTTAGCCTCTCCGAGCTCCCTCTTCCAACACCCATCTGTAAATGGGGGAAATTATTATGTTTACTTCACAGAAGTATACAAATTAAAAGCCTGGGTTTAATGAATTGTTGAAAATTTTAGTTAAGTCCTTCACATACAGGTCAGCTGTTCTCTGCAGTTTCTGGCACTGAGGAATGTTCATTCCTGCACCTTTACGTGTCTCTCTTCTTCCAATCTCTCTGAATCCTTAGGGATCCCTATAACACCCACCAGTTTTCATTTATCTCTTAAATCTCAACTGCCCTAAAAGCATAAAGTGCTGAGCAGATAACTATAAAATAAGCAGAAATCTTTTGTGGTGAACAGCTGAAAATGTCACGTTGCTGGCAGCCAACAAGGAAACAAGAGGCAGACGCAGACTATACATAATTTCTGCAGTCAGAATCCAGCGTTTACACTGGCAAGCGGGGGTGGCATCCTGCAGCCCTCTAAGCTCAGGTCAGCACTGAGGGTGGGGAAGGCAGGGTGAGGGGGCCATGTGTGAACTTCACCTGGGACAGTCCTAGGGTCACCTGAAGAGACCCTTGTCCAGCACCCACGGGGCCTTATGAAGGAATGCCCCTCTGCCTAAGCAGTGTCTTTGGAGAGAGAAGCTGGAACTGTCGTATTTAGAGCAGTAACCCTGAGTGTCCCAGGCAGCTGGGGGTGATTGCAGCATACGGCTGGACTCCAGCCATGAAGGTGAACGTGCACAGAGGCGAATGGCTGCTGTGAATCAGGAGCCATTGAGCAGAGGTAGGCAATGGGCTGAGCGATCCCCTGGTGATCCAGTTACCAGGCCCAGGTCAGGGCCTGGCCCAAACAGGCTAAGCAGCACAGTGGAAAGGACGTGGACTCAGCAGCTTCCCAGCCCACCTCCCACTAGACCATGACCTTGGGCGAGTTGTTCTTAGTGATCAATAGGAGGAAAATTAACATTTGTAAAATGCCTAGCCAGGTGTAGGTGTTCCCTCCATTGATGTTTCAAATACTTGATGAGGGCAGAGGAGGGCAGGAAAGGAGGATGTTTGACATATTCTAAGATAGAAGGCCTGGGATGGACTGCAGGGGTGCCCAACACCAAGGCATATTTACCTCTGGGCTGCACCGCAGTAAAGCAGAGCCTCTGTCGTAGACCAGAACGAATTCAACAGAGAGATTTGGAGCAGAGACTCTCGGTCCCACAGGTAGGAACACATCCAGCGAGAGCATGGGAAATGGAAACTGTGGTGATTCCTGGCCATCCCACCTTGCCTCTTAGACTTTCATATTCATTGTTTATCTTACCTCTATGAGCTCGTGCTCAGGCATGTGTTTGGTGAGGAAAAAAAGAACTTGCTCTAGACCAAGAGTGGTCATCCTTCTTTGGGAAATAACCCAGGACTCAAGGTTTCATGAGAAGAGAGGATCTAGGACATGGGCATAGAAACAGGCGCATTTCCTTCTCGTGTATCTGCCCCATCTTCTCCCCTGTCCCCATTGCTGCCAGATCATTGGTCCGGTGTCCACTGAGACACTTGTATCTCCGCATTCTCAGAACCAGACAGTGCGGTCGGGGCGCTTAGATGCTGCTGCTGCTCGGCCGGTACCAGGCAGTGCTCCTCACTCACCTTCATGGCCATTCAGGGAGAACCCAACTTCATCTCACCCCTGCCAGCAAGGCTTCTCCCCAAGGTACCTGTGGGCTGGTCCATCAGAACATCCTCCTTTCTTGTCCTCCAAGGGGAGATTAGCAGGAGGCTAAGAGTGGCCAGCCCGGCCGGAGCTCCCAGCTGCTCTGATCAAACACCACTCCTGCCGGCTCTTCTTGCACTGGTTCCCCCAGCGCAGGCCAGAAACAGCTGATCAAACACATCAGGACAAGGTCAGCCCAGGGACCCACAGTCCCCTTCAGGGGAGATTTCATAGACCTGCCATCAGGAGGGACTGATAAGAATGGGCAGGGGGTGGAAAAGAGGGCCCGTGGAGCTGGCTCAGGACCGAACAGCTTTTCATTCCGTTTAAGGTTGGAACCTGTGCTCCACACAGGGTCCAGCCCAAAGCCAGCGTTTCCAGAGAGGCCCAGACCGGAGCTGCCTGTGAGCCCAGGGAACTGAAGTAAAATGAGGGAAAGGGTAGCTGTGCGAGCACGCATGACCAGGGGGCGAGAGAGAGGCCAGGGCAAGTGTGGGTTGGGGAGCATGGGATTATTAGATTGTCACCGGATAACTTCAGATCCTCCCTCGCTAAACTGTGACCCCTTCAAGGGCAAGAACTGCAGTATCCTTTTTGTTAACACGCGCGCGCGCGCACACACACACACACACACACACACACACGTGCGGGTAGCCTGGCACATCAGGTGTCTTTTTGACCTGAAATTCTGGAGTCTCCGAGGGCCTATTATGTGCTCACCCCCATGCTGGTGCCACAGAGCTTGGGCCGTATCGAGCTAATGTGGTGTGTGTCTCCTGCTCCTCGGGGACCGTTAACCTGGTTGGCCAGGCAAGGATTATATATGAGAAGCAAGGACCAGAAACAGCCATGCCGGTCCAGACTAAAGCACCTATAAATGCTGGGTTTTGTTTGTTTGTTTGTCTTTTTCATGAGGGTGGGGATTAATATTTTTTAGAAATATTCTCATAGTTCATAGTCACTGTTATTAAGTGCTTACCACATGTTGGACACTGGACAAAGACCTTTATGTGATTCTTATTTCACCAACACCGTTGCGGATGAGGAAGCCAGCACCAGGGAAGTCACATGACGAGTTACCCAGCTCGTGAGCAGCACAGCCAGGGTTTGAACCAACCCAGCCACCTGAATCCAGAGCTGGCTCTTAAACGCCGTCCTATATGCAAGATTTTCTTGCTTAATATTTAGCCATACTGCCCAGTCCTCAAGCAGCCTGGTCTGTCACACCTGGACCGTTGTCGTAGGACCAACCACGTCTGCCGCCTTTTCTCTCCTTTTGCTTCCCTTCTCCCCATCCTGCTTGAGACAGCAGCCAGACCAAAACTTCGCTTTTATCAACTGGAAATGAGTCCAATAGCAACAAGTCGTGTCCTCTGCCTTGCTTTGGGGCTAGATTGCTTATGGCCTCGGGCCGGCCCCTCAGTTTCACCCATCCTCAGTCAACTCTTGGTGGCTCAGTCGGGGCTCTTCCTTGGAGTAAAGGACAGCCACTAGTCCTGCCTGAGCTTCCCCGGGGGCAGCCGAGCCACACACAGTGCCTGGCACAAGTGTGCTGGTTCCCCAACTCGGGCAGCTCTGGGAAGCGCCTTGGCCAGTCTGACACCCCATGTCTGCCCTAATCCTAAAGGAAAAATGTTTTCCAGAACAGCAATTATATTATTGGAGAGGATTGGATCAGACGAAGACAAAACGCAGTGGTCCGGAGCCCACTTTAGAGTGACAGATCTGAGTTCAGACCCCTGCTCTGTCGTGTTAGATGTGTAACTTTAGGCAGGTTAACTTTTCTTGACCTCGATTTCTTTTGTCTATAAAATAGAGATAATAAAAATTCTTAGGGTAATTGTGGAGGTTAAAGGTGACACATATGACTGGTATAAGTAATGTCATGTAGTAGGTGCTCAATAAAAATGATACCAGTCATGTTATCAGGGCACCCAAAGCTCTGAAGTGGTCCCTGCCCCAGTGCAGAGACCCCTCTGGGTGCTTCTAAAGCTCAGGTAAAGTGGGCTTCGGTATGAGGAAGATGAAAACGCACAAGCTGGACAGGGTCCCCAGAAGGCAGGGCCTGGTCTTAACCTCTCTATCCCCCATCTCCCTGGTGTCCGGCGCATGGCTAGTATGCAGGGAACAGCTGTCGCATGATTATGTGAGCAGCAGAACCAGGAGTCTGTGGGTGCCCAGGACCCTGCTCCTCATGCTGCTCTCTGCTGTGCCACAGAGCCACCTAGAAGAAGATCCTACAGCCCAAGGGGTATCACAAATGCCAGTGGACTTCCTGGATCTGACAGCCCCGGGGTGTGGCCATGTGGCCTCAGTGGAGTCAGTGTCTTGTCCCATCATCAGCAGAACAGGCTGTCTCGATCCGTTTGGTGCCCCGTTCCTCTCCTGAGCTGGTCTTCTGGAGCAGAGAGGCTTCCCCCGGGGAGCAGGACTCTCAGGCAGGGGGAGCATAGGAAAGAGAGGAGGTGGCACATGTTTGGCTCAAGCTGGCCGCCCTCATTTTGGTAGGGGTAGTCCCATAATGTCTCCCTCTTGAGTAGCACTCTGCTGTTTTCAGATCGCGTTCATATGTATTACTGGTCGTCACAGTAATGTGAAAGGTTAGGGTAGTATCTTCGTTGTTACCCCTTTAGAATGAAGGAATTCAGACACGGCCCCTCTGTGGAATTAGAGGTCATCAGCTAGTGCAGTCCAGCTTTCTGACGCCAGATGGAGGCTATTCCCACCTCACTGTGCTGTCCTTTGTGTCTCTACGGTCCCCACGTTTCAGAGCCCTTTGAGTCATTCACTTGCTTGACTCTGGCAGCAGTGCTCTTGAGGCTGAAAGAGCACGAATTACCATTTTGCAAATGAAGAAACAGGTTCTGAGAGGCAACGTCACTCGGTCACACAGTGAGTCAGTGGCAGAACCGCAGTCAGAGCTACTGAACCCAGCATTACGCCCACTTTGCAAGGAAAAGCACGACGTAGGCCAGGTGAGTGAGGGGACTCGAGGGTCAGCCAGTCTTCACTGCAG